TTGAAAATCACCGCAACAAAGGAGTTTCTTGGCCAGTGGCGTTGCGTGTGAGTATCCTTCAGTCCCAGGTGTGCCAGTAAGCTCGTGTCAAGTGAAAACCATTCCAATTGAATATCGTTGCACCGCTCCTTTAAACTCTGCTCGTCTTGGCTTTAGATACTTCTTATCATGAATCCTCCTTAGAGAAGCGCAAAGATTCTTTGCGTACGCACGCTATTTCCGGGAAATAGCGCACGCTAAAATTGCGCGCGCAAAGTGCAAATTCGGGTTTGCGTTCGGAGCATGGTAGTGGCGACGACGCTATTCTTTGCGTACGCAAAGCTTTAGCGTGCGCTATTCTAAAACTCCCTATTATATCTAACAGTTCGTTAAAAATTTCAGGAGAAAGCCATTTGTTTCCAGATCGGCAAAGCCAAGATTGCAGCTCTGGTATGTCATTTGCGCGTAGTTCCAGAAGCTGCCTTACGTTGCTTTCTGCATCATCACGGCCACGTACCGCTAGGCCTTGACATGCCAAGTAGTGTAACGAAGATACTGTTAAACGTCACCGACAACTGCACGAAACACCTCCTGCAACGGGCGAAGCGTCACGCAAACCGACATCACAGCCCATATAAGGCCAAGCATGATGTCAGGTGCAGTGATGGAAGCGGAATTTGACCCTTTGTAGCAGGTTCTGTAGCAGGCAAGTGCCTTTCCAGCATCCTTCATTTCCTTTTGCTTTCCTTTAAAGCAGCAAAAAGCCGCATTTACACCCTTATCTACAGATGGTATAGAGGCTAAGCCTGCCCTATGAAAACTGGAGGCCTAATGGCTTTGAAATATCTGCAAACCTTTCTTCCAGTTGGAAAAGCCATTCTATACAAAGGTAAGGTAAGAGTCCTTGTCCCTGTATGTGGTTGGGAGGGGTACAAACATGTCGTAAGCAGCGCGACAGGTCTCACAGAACACTCTGTTCAATGAAGCATCATAATGAAGTCATATGTAGGTGAGCTTCCACGTTGGTTTGTAACGTCGTCCCTGCACTCCTTAAAAGCAAGGAACCGAGGCATTACTAATCGTTGGCAAGTGTGCGGATGCAGTAGTTATGGTGGCCGTGGACATGCTTGGAGTGGTCGGTTAGAATGGTCACGACATTATCAATGGACGAGGCTTCGCAAGTGATGGCTCCACAGGCTGTGGACATCCCGCCCGATGAGCAGCAGCTCGGCCTTGCATCGTCTTCGTTTAAAGCCTTCCGCTTCCTCACAAGGTATTTTTTCATTGTTATTTTTTCGACACCCTAATAATGAGAAAACAACGGGGTAAGACTGGCATTGATGATTTACGCAAAAAATCTTAATCAGTGAGCAGTACTACAAAAGAAAGCCTAAGCATGGCCCTTGTTTTCATGCCGCAACGGTCACCGCGTGCGGCGTGAACTCCGACAAAGTTGAGCAGAAAATTAATAAAGTTTAAATAAGTCTAGGTGAGGCACAGACATTGTTATAACAAAGCATGCGCCTGACTCGCAACGTATCCTAAATCAAGGATCACAATAAAGTGAAATTGCTATTGTCAAAGAGACAATGTTCTTACTTCTAGCTAAAACAGTACTAAATAGACAATGCCGAATATTCACTGGGGATCCGGATAATCTGTTGACGATGGGCGCAGTCCTCAACACTTGCAAAGAAAAGTTCTTCTCGTTGTTAAGACCGAGGAGTTCTCCTTCCAGGCAGCATCAATCAGGGGCAAACAATGGTAGGGCTCGCTCCCTCCCCTCCCCTCCCCCTCCCCCCCCCCCCTCCCTCCCTCCCTCCCTCCCTCCCTCCCTCCCTCCCTCCCTCCCTCCCTCCCTCCCCCTTGCCCGGAGGGGCGAACGTAGCCTTCACCCTCCACAAAGGTCCATCACAACATGGTGTGGCCAGCGTGCATGCAGCAGTCGACTCTGTGTCAAAAGACGGCAGGTTGATCCTTGTTCAGTCGGATGGCATGACACACTCAACTTCAAGAAGCAACTGACCAACTCCTCACCAAAAAAGAGAAAGAGAGAGCTTTAGGAAGAAAAAAGCATGAGGTCACCAAGGGAGAGAGAAAGAGCTTGAGAAAAGAAAGAAGAATCATTGCATCTCTTATTTTTGAAGAGGCGAAAAACAGATAAACAAAAATCTACACCCTCCTCTCCTATCTGGCAATCAGTCTACTTTCTCCTTTCCTACCTTCCGTTTTCCATGCCCTTTGTTTTTGAACTGTCGTGTTTTCTCGAGGAAGTGCATACGTAGAGAATGGTTCATGCAAGCAGGGAGCCCCTTGTTGCAGTGCTTGTTTGGGCGGCGCTTGCAGGAGTGAAAAACAGAAATGATGCCATGGAAAGACTCGTTCAATGTCCGAAAATCGGTGGAATTTCGAGGAGGGAGATATGTAACCTGCCCCCCCTCCCTTCCCAGAAACTTAGGAGCCCTCAGCGCCCCCGCAGTCGACGCCTATACTTCGAAGAGGGGGGGGTCGGGCCTCCGAGCACCCCCCCCCCCCCCCCCCCACCCCCATAATCAGCGCCTATGGTGCACACCACATCGACACACACAAACCAAGCCTGGCATCTTCGCTCGCTTGCATGGTCAGTCCCAACGCCTCTACAGGTGTTCACAGGAATCGCGGCATAACTTTTGGCATGCTCCGTCCAACGGTACGTAACCCAAAATACAAAGCGTGTGCCCATGTCGCAATAAGCCCTTACCCACTACTTTGGGAAACGTTTGAAAACTGTAAGCAAAAGACGTACCAAGCGCCCACCCCACATCTCTGAGCCCGTCGAGCTAACCGAAGCGCTCTTCCTCGTCAGCTGTTTCTTTGAGCATCCCAGTTTTAAAGCAATGAAACCCACCTGTAGAGGCAGTTGCAATTTTCGTGGGCAACCAAGATGGCATTTTGTATCAGTTTTTTTTTTTTCCATCACGAGCAAAGATATATTTTTCACACGGCGAGTTGCAGCCACGGGTCTTTCTTCTGACCCGAGGACGGAGGTCTAGACACAGGCGTCCGCCGAGGCATTCGGAGCAATGAACTGCACCCATTAAAGGCTAGCACATCATTTTGTAAACTAGACAAGACGCCATGGAAGCGTCTCGAACTCAAAACTACGTTGTCAGAAACCACGGATCACGTTCCAGTGGTGGGTGATGCCAGCTGAAGGGACCCCGAGCAGGACCAATGTTTATGGGCAGATGTAAAAGCGGCATCAAGTGAACCCAGCAAAGTGGCCTCCAAATTTCAGGAATCCCAAATGGTTATACCACAGGCCCTCCACGACGCCTGCGTTCACGAGTTCACGGTGGAAATTAATCTGTGTCACCTGTGGAACGAAGAACAGAAAACCGTATTTTCTTGCGAGCACTAGTTTTTATACTTTAAAATATGAAACAGATTGAAGGTCAAAGTGCCTCTCAACTCGCCACATCGCCTTTCGAGTGCATACTCTGGGGGTTCACGTGGTTTCCCCTTGGGCCCTCTCTTAAGAGACCCCAGCCGCTTTCTCTGCGATTGTCGACTTTTAAAGTCGACAATCAACTTTAAACTGCAGATCCGCAAAAAATTAGTTTTTTTCTTTGCGATTACGCAGTGGAATAGCAGTTTCTCGGGGCAAGGTGACACGTTTTTGGTCACTTGTGCTTGGATAAACAATATAAAAAATATAAACTGCCAATTCTTTCAACATTAAAATCGTTGCATTTACCACTTTAATACTCCCATCTATGCTCCCATCCATCAAGGTAATCGGCAAGGCACGTTTTGGCGATTCGCGTGGGGATGGTCGAAATCCGTGCATTTTCTCTCACACACAAACGAATCAGGGCTCATGTATTAATGTTTAAGTTCTCAGCCGTGGGACCTGATCCTACAAAGGAATTGTGAACCAAACTTTTGATTTCAGAAAACAATGCAGGAGCTGTAGGCGGGACGCTACAATCCCCACAACACTACTTGTAAGGCGATGTCTCGAATGGACGGCCGTAGTCTTGGAAAAAGAGGCCGAGATTGAACGAGGCCAACGAGGCACGTGATGTCAACATACCTCGTTTGCTCCTCTCTTCGCTTCACCCCCTCAAGGCGGCGAGGCAGAGAAGACGCGAGCCGTTCCCTCTCTCTCTCGACTCTTCTCGAAAAAACAAGATGTCAACATATCTGTCAAATGCGCCTTTCTTTTTATAGAAAACAAAGTCATCTGTTCGAGATATTGCCGTACAGTCAAACCCGTTTATAACGAACAGCAGGAAACTCTACTATCGGTTCGACGTAGCAAGTAGTTCGATATAGCAAAAACTATTTACACGGAACTTCCACGATGCGTTCGTTGTAAGGCGAGAGCTTCTCTCTTTCTCATCTCTTTTCTTCCGCTGTGTAACAACGCGCTGGAATTATTTATTTTGTATTTTTCCATGCGTGCAGAGTTTGATTTTTTTAGCTTATCTCCTCTTTTGAATCGCTTCTCTTCGTGGGCAACCGCTTCAAGCTGAAAAGATTTTTTTTGTGCTTGAGTGCACAGTGTATATTTTTAGATTTCTCCCCTTCTGAATCATCTCTCATCGCTCAATTTTTTTAGCGGCTTGACCTTTTGGAATTTTCTTTCCTTCCTACGATCTTTTATATTTTTTGGGGGGGGGGGGGGGGGGGGGGGGAGGGAAGGGGCAGGCTAGACGACGATTTTTTGCGCGTTTTTGGTAGCCTTCCTGGGGGAAAAAAGTTTGATATAGCCAATATGTTGTTCATTATAGAAATAACTTTTTACATGCATTTTTATTTAACATTTCCGTGAGTTCAATATCAACAATAATTCGCTGTACGTGGGTTCGTTCTAAACGGGTTTCACTGTATGAGTGACGTTTTGGTGTTTGTAGCATCTCGTTTCACGCTTTTTGCCACTGTGTTTTGTGGAATCCAGATTTCGGTTCAGCATCCCTTTGACCCTCAGAGAGGGTGGTGTCCTCTCATCAAATTCGCTGGGGAGTATGTTGACTCACTTTTTGTTCCAGCGCTGCGCCGTGTCACCGCGGTGGACGTCATAGTGAAGCGGCGCGTAGAACTCGGAGGCGTCGAAGTCCACCTGGAAGGTGTCCCAGAAGGGCCCGAAGGGGTTGCCCTCTTTGGCCTGGCAGCTACCGCCCCCCCGCCCCTGGTAGCACAGCACTGCACAAGAGAAAGGGCGGCTGAGGACCTTCCTGGGGGGCTTTCCCTTTTAGTTCTTTCACAATTCCTGCCCTGCCCAGGAAGTCAATCACCAATTAATTATTTATGCGAATGTCCAATGTCCACCGTAGACTACCGAGCAAGCGCCTACTCAATATTAGGAGACAACCTCAAAAAACAGGGGGATGGACACTTCTTAGGTCCGAGCACAGAAATGCGGAAGGGGCACGCGATGGAATGGGCTTCGCCGCATGCGCCGGCGTGCTCGGAGAGGCGACCGACATGAAGGAGCATCTCGACAATACATACTCTATTTCATTAAAACGCTGTCAAAGCTGCTGGCACAAGCGCATGGCTTCACCTACCGTCCCCTTTGTGCAAAAGCACACGCAAACAAACTGCAAGATGAAACCACACGCTTGCACAAGCAGCTTTGACAGTGTTCTACGCTACTAAATATAAAATTATATTTTATTACTTCATAAATGAAATGGAATAAAGGAGAATTCAGAAGTTTGCTGGGTGGGTATGATATGTGATTTGCTTATTTTTCTTGCATTTTATTCGTAGTGGGTGGGTGCTTATTGTGACATGGGCACACGCACGGTATTTGACGACACATATTGCGTCGTAAGTTAATAACAGCTACAAGATTTCTTATTTGTTCATTACTATTCTTGCATTTAGAAACAGTCACAGCCTGGTACTGCATGGCACAAACAGTGCAACTGCTATGTAGAAGAATTGAATGAAGAATTCACTAAGAATACTTTCTTTTAATATACTATAAAAAAGAAAGAGCGAATTAGTAAAATAAATAGTTCTTTGATAGCTGAAGTCTTAAAGCATGTGAATTTCATACAGAAATAATATATTTAAAGTAGAACGATGAATAAAGTACAGAAAAGTTAAATTCAGCTTATAATGCTGATGAAGGGGCTTGAAGTAGTGAAGCAGTAAAAATGCCCCACCCAGGAGCAATACGACAGATATGGGCTATATAGGCTCGGCTTCACTGCCACAGAAAGTTGTCCACGAGTCTAGCTCAGCTATAGCCACCACTGGTTACCTTCCCTACTAAGGTGACTTTGTTATGATTCTTTATCAGGTGATACTGCAAGCGGTGCCACATTCAGCGGATAAATTAAGGTAACACATAAAAAATGTGAGCAATGTGGGCTCTGGGGTTTTTCACAACATCAACAGTTTCTCCTGACTTCACATGTTCTCCTGACTTCACATGTTCTCCTGACTTCACATGTTCCTCATGATGTGATGTTCCTTATAACATAATTTGTTTCTCATGACATCAAGTGTGCACACAAAAGTGCAATAGGTATGCACATGACTCTCCGCAAAAATGCTGAGAAGCCTTCTGCAATAGCAGATGCAACCCAGGACCACAATTTTGTTGAGACTAAATTCGTCGCCTTTCAATCGTGGGATGTTGATGCCATCCATTTCCGGGGAAGAGGACCAGAGACCCACCTGTGCGGTTCCCAGGGGGCCAGACTGTGGGTGCCAGGTCCCTCATGAACTGCTCCATGAGGATGACGCTGTGGAAGGCCTTCAGCTTGTCCACCTTAAAGTAGGTGTCAAAGGGCACCTGCACCTGTGGGCGGCCCGGGATTCTGTGTGAGCTTACTAGGGCAAAAAACGGCGGTGTTTCCTAATTAGAGGCTAAAGGCCCGTTCACACAGTTGCAACATCTTAGAATAGAGTGCCTTGGAACTTCTTAATATCTCTTATGATGAGAGGGCATACTGGCACCATCTATCGGGTAGCAGTTTAAACTTGGTGGTCCGGCATATTTTTCATTTCTCTCGCGCATTATCCTTTCTCTCTTGGCTCGAAAGAACTTTTGTCAACGTTATAAACGAGCCTTTCTCAAAGGTATTACGAACATTTGACCTCGGAAATCCCGCAAAACCTTCGCTCTTGTAAAATGCAGTTTCAAGGTAACCGCATAGATGGCTCCAGTGTGTTCTCTCGTCCTAAGAAATTTTAAAAGGTTGCAACAGGTCTAGTTGCGCTCGGTTGCAAGTGTGTGAACGGGCCTTAAGAAATGTGCTAGCATTCAGAAGAAATGCCTCAAGGTAATAATAGGCAAAACAGGAACAAGCATTTGTCTACAGGCACCAAGTTTTTGCAAAACATTTGTTTATGGAACTCCCATTCATTTTCTTTCTACAGCTTTTTATTTTTTCCTCGACCCGACAGCCCCTCTGCTTAAAGGAACAGACCCGAAGGTCAAACATAAAGGGGCCATAAGTATCGAAAGTAACTGCCTAGACAGGAAGAAGAAACTGCCACAGTCAACAGCACCCTTTGGAGCGATGTCATCCTGGCACAATAACGGCATGTTGAAGGTACTTTGGTCCCCAAAAAGAAGCCACAGCAAAACAGATTATTTTGTTGTACTCAGTCCAAGCTCCCGAACTCATTTAATCAATGTCATACATAATCGAAGGTTCTCAATAACTACTCAAGATACTAGGATTCTGTGGCCACTGGATATCAAGAGGTTCTTGAGGCTTACGTCTGCAAAGGCTGCACAACTAGGAGCGATAAAGGTCACATCCACTCGAGGCTCTTTTGACTTAGACTGAAGCTACTTGAGACATGGGGTGCTGGAGAATTCATTAAACGAGCAAGAATGCACCACTGTCCCACTTGGGTTTGCTACCACCTCGAGCTCAACCGCCGAAGAATTTGATGCCCGACAATACCATTGCTCGAGAGCTCCCACGGGGTAGCCACTTTAAAGAACCCAAGACAAGTAACAAACACCGGAGCATAAAGAACTGAGGCCATTCGTAAAACACTTCATCAGCAACCAACAAAAATAGGACCGATACCTGCCAATACATTGAAAAAAAAACATGCTGCAAGAGGAAACGGATGCATTCAGGCCCCCATAAAACAAGGTGGAACTAATGGGCACTGTGAACATCAGCTAAGCAGAGAGAAACCATGGCAAAACAGGGAAGTATGAAAGTGCAGAATTAGTACTACTGAATGCTACCACAGTACCACAGAAACTGCCAAAGCTTTGTTTCAGAACCGTGTCACGGCACTCAATTTGATGGCTGCATTATGGTGACCCCGTGCATTCTGCTCGCGAGCAGAAAAATGGGCTGGCATTCCCCTTTCCAAAACTGAAATAAAGGTTTCTTGTTGAGAAACACCTAGCAAAAACCAGCTTGCTTCTTAACACCCATCAAGTAGTAATTCACCAGCTGCGGAGGGCTGCAGCGCACACGTTTCATATGCGCTTTATGTTGCCTGCCTTTCCATGGTGCCAATATGCCACACATCCCCTACGTCTACCTCAGACATCTGCCAACCAGAAAACTTAAGCGGGTCGTCAGTGCTGGGCAAGGGGCACCATGGGATGGAGTATTCTGGAAACACTCGGCGGCTCTGGGCAAAAATATTACGGGGCGCGGCAGTCACAGACGGATGGCTGGGACTCACAGAGTGGGGCTGTCCCACCCTGTACTCCACCCACGGAGGCAGCACGAGGGTGCGGTTCAGGGCACGGGCAAAGGCTAGGGCCCCCAGGAAGTGGTCCGCCTGGTTTCCGAACCGCCCTGGGAAGGGGGGACCACAGATCGGGTGTTATAGGGCGACTACGTCCAGCGAGGTCATCGACGGTGTCGGAAACGACAACGAACATTGCGAAGGAGATGATGAAAATACATTTGTCGTAAGGAGCAACCACGTCATTTCTTACTACAGTCCAGTGCTTTCGGTATGAACCGATAAACACCCCAAAAATAACCCCCAGGCCAGTTTCATTTAAGTGGGGAAAAACGGAAAAACTTCTAACCGCGAATTGGGGCTGTCCTCGGTCAAGAATAAACCAAGCTTCGCGGAAAAAGATCTTGTTCATTTCGCGTTGACCAAGGACACAGCCTAAAATGAACTGTACACGAAGATGCTCTGTTCTTTGGGAACCACAGCCCTTACCTATAGTAAAATACCGAGAAACACTCAAAATTTGAAGATAATCGCAAAAAAATAGGGGATGGGCACATGTGAGGTGCATGTGCTCCCTGGGTGTTGGGGAATGCCATGTCCTGTCTTCCTTCACATGAGCCCTTATAGATGCTGAAAAGACACCAAAACAAATGCTGAATAACCTAGGAAAAACAAAACCTGAAAACAAGGAAACCCTATGCACTTTGCCTAGGATGGATATTAAACTAACAAGAAAAATCCCCCTGGTAGCTTGACAACACAAACTACTAGCAAATTTTCCAGCATACAAGATAGACCCCCAGTACTTTTGGACCTTTGGAAATACCCTAGGAGTCTTGCCCCCGTAGGCTCCACACACTGGAGATGATCCAGACTTGAGCCGTTTCACGTTACGACGGACCGCAATAGACTCTATGAGCCGTCTCAGCCAACCCAATGCTGTGCGCATGTCACGTGGCCTTCGAGAACAGCATGGGAATGCGCCAAGTGCCTAGTCACGCGGTATGTTCACGGTGCTAGATTGTTTGGGTTGACCAGTAGCGCCGGATGTGGTCTGTCGTAAGGGGAGACGGAGTCATTTAAGATGGTTCCTTCGCAACCACTTTGAAAAAGCTTGTGAAAAAAGATCCACAAAGATCCTTTTCTGCAACTTATAGTGTGTCAGGGATGGAACTGGGCAAAGCAACTCTGGAGCAATTTTGGGGGCGGAAAAAACTGCAGTTTGGAGCAGCAAACACGAGGTCTTGGAGCAAGTTGGGAGCAGCATAAGAGTTTTAAGAATGTTAAAATAGAGGCCAAATGTCACCTGGTTTTCAAAACTTAAGGAAACATGGCATGCAGATAACTTCATGTGAACGGCAGTTTCAATTCACATTTTATTTGAAACATTTTTTAACAAATTACATGAAAATCACACAATATGTAAAGCGAAATTACACAAGTGTGACAAGTGATGGAACCGACTAGCAAAGAGGTAAATATAAACAAAGAGGCAGATATAGCTTTCAGCTCGCACCTTGCTCCATCATTAGCCTCACTGCTCGCCTGCCTTTCTCATGTTTTTAAGTTTTCTGCGTGGAGCCTCAGGGCAGGAAAACGCGGGCAGCGGGGTGAGCAAAGTTTGACAATTTCCGGTTCCTTAGGAAATTTTGTTTCACTGTTGACAAACGACGACAATGAGCTGCAAGCCTGTGCAAGTATAATTCTGAAACCTCCAGGCTGTAGTTTTCAGAGCCATGCTTAGAGAGGCTTGCAGGTCATTGTCGTCGTTTGCCAACAGCTAAACAAAATTTGATAAGCAACCGGAAGTTGCCAAACGCCGCTCATCTATACACCTTTCCATAAAAGCGTATTAGGGTGCGTTCATTGCCGTGTTTGTGTGTTATGCACGCGCAGTTTCTGGCTGGCTGCAATTGCAAGCGAGCACTGGCTGGACTGATTTTGCACGTGTGAAATGTGATTTTTGTAAACAGTGGAAGTATGGCCAAGAGGGAGGCACATCAACTTGAATACATTTGAGTTTATTGCAATATGGAGGCACTGTTTGCTCCACTATTCAGATGAAGTGATTCCAGAAACCACAGCTATACTTTGTTTCAGCTTATGTCCAGACGCAGCCGATGCTACAACGCCAGCAAGTGGTCTTGAACAGTGCTCGCAGTGCATGAGTGCGCGTTCTTGGCGGGGATGCTGAAGGCCCAGAGCTCTTCACTTGTAGCATCATCTTAGACGCAACAGAGTAACAGCAAATAGCTTCAAGGTCTAGGACCCTAACCTCGTCAAACACAATTAAAGTTGGGGACGAAGTTGACGGAGCACACCAATTGGACAGTCACAACAATGACTTTGCGTTTTTGTCGCCGACGTCCAATCAGCGCGCCCTGCGAATTTTCGGCTCCAGCTTTGTGTTTGACGAGTTTAGGGCCCCTGGTAGCAAAAGCATTGCAATAAGGGATGCTGTAACAATTGTTATAAGCTGAAACAAAGTCTAACCATGGCAGAGACCACTGTGGCAGCAACTTTTGAATACAGAGCTTGGGACTCGAATTCGGAACCCCTGGTGTTCCCTTTGGGCGGGAAGTTCCGATGTCAATGTCGCCAGCAGAAACTGCGCAACGGCTAATTTCGACGAGGATCTTTTATAATTTCAGTTTGGGCACACCTTGGCACAATTTCGTTCTTATTTATACTTTTGTGTCAGTGTGGCGCATGAAAGGTCAATAGGAGCACAATGGCACAATCAGCGCAGCAGTTCCATCCCTGGTGTGTACAATGCAGACACTGAAATATTGCAATTCGACTGTCCCGCACCATGCAAACACGACATTGACATTTTTCTCACAATCTACGAGGGTGATTCAATAAATAAGGTGAATTTTTTTTGTATAAGGACTTCTAATACAGATAGAAGCTTACTTTTTTTTTATTTTTCTACGTAGTCTCCTAGCACTGTCACACAATTTTCCCATCTGTGCACAAGCTTTCGTATTCCCTCAGCGTAAAATTCTTTGGATTGATGTCTGAGCCAGTCGCTCACAACACATTTGACTTCATCGTCACTTTCAAACTTCGTGCCTTTCGTGAACGCTTTCAAGGGACCAAACAGGTAAAAGTCTGAAGGGGCAAGGTCTGGGCTATAAGGGAGATGAGAGAGCAGTTCCCAGCCCAGCTCGTTGATGGTCTGCACCGTTAGGGCTGCTGTGTGAGGCCTTGCGTTGTCATGATGCAAGATGACTCCTTTTGACTGATGACCTCTGCGTTTGTTCATGTCTTTCTTGACCTGGCTCAGCAGTTCACAGTAGTTGGCACTGTTCACAGTGCTTCCTTTTTCAAGGAATGAAATGGTGATTGGGCCTTGCATATCCCGAAAAACAATGAGCATCACCTTTTTAGTGGACCGCTGGGACTTGAACTTCTTCTTCACTGGAGAGCCTGCGTGCTTCCACTCCATGGACTGTCATTTAGACTCAGGCTCATGGTGCCAAACCCATGCCTTGTCAGATGTGACCATCTTCTTCAGAAACTCATCACCATCCTTCTCATAGTGGGAAAGACACTGCTGGGACAACTCGACCCTCCTCTGTTTGTGCTCCGCAGTAGGCAATTTGGCACCCACCTGCTGCTGACCTTCGAGTAGCCAAAGTCATCATGGACAGTTTTGTGTGCTGTCCCCACAGATAAGCTCAAAGTCCTTGCAATGCCATCCACTGTCACCCTTCTGTCAGACTGAATGAGGTCATTGACTTTTTCGATCACCTCAGGAGATCTCACTTCTGTAGGCCTCCCAGGCCTGTCTTCATCCTCAACACTGCTCCGTCCTTCTTTAAACAATGTAGCCCACTTGTCGACATTTTTTTGGCTGAAACATGTGGCATCATACACAGTTGACATTCTCCTATGAATTTCAACGGGTTTGCACCCTTCAGCAACAAAAAACTTGATAACTGACCGCTGTTCGATCCTGGAGCATGCTTCTTGGTTGGCCATCTTTGTTACTTGGTAAAAGTCTCAGTTTTTTTTTTGTAATCTGCCTAAGAAATTAAATCCATGTGGAAAAGTAGTAAAACAATAAAAATAACAAAAAAGTAGGCTTCTATCTGTAAAAGGAGTCCTCATACAAAAAAATTCACCTTATTTATTGAATCACCCTTGTAACATGTTAGTGTCGAACACAAAACATTAACACCGAAGTTCATGACCCTCTTTACCATACTTGTTAGAGTCATGCAAGGAAGACAGACTTGTCTGTCAGAGGGCACTAGAACCATTAGCACATGTTTGCATAAACACCTGTTTTGGCCAACTTAGACTACACCCAATTAAAAGGCTTTAATGAACATATGGAGGAACCCTGAAGACAAGGAAACAAAAAGGGAAAAGACACAAGCTTTATTAAACTTTCTGCGTGTTTGTCCTTTTCCCTTACCTTTCACTATATGCAAGCCCTGTTACCAACAAGCTAGTCCTGACTTTAAAGAGTACTGTGAACTTGTGGTGTCCTGTCCTACATCCCCTGCTCCAGAGTTTGTTCCCTTAGAATTTCTTGTAGTGAGTTTGTCCGTCCTTTTCAGTCACCTTCCTCTATGTGCGATTCTTATTTCCGCTTTTATGCGAAAGTGCTCAAAAGTTATTACGAAAACAGTAAACACTCATGGTTTCTCGAGTTTTATATTTGCATCTAAAAAGGCCCAGTAATTATCCTTCAAGTTCACTTAAACCACAAAAATTAGAAAGCCATACAATGAACCATTTCCAAGTTCAAGGTTAAAAAATGAGTGAATTAAAAATTGAAGCCCCATGTGCAAGCGTACAACTGGCAATGTGCACAAACTACAGGAGGTGCTTCTTTAGTAGCTATCAACAACGTCCTTTCTGACATTGAAAGATCAGCTGTGCACATTCCCCGGCTTGCGAACTCGCTAATGCGTTGATTGGTTAATGCATCCAAATTTGTTTCAAGTGTTGAATATATTTGGTTAAGTACATTTGGGGTGGACAGATAGTCGTGCTAAGTAAAAACCTTTGGTGCTGAAGTGTCAAAGTGCCAAGATGGCTGTGTACTGTTCTGTGCCCCTGAGCAACATATGGTGAACAGGGTGCAAATTTCCATTGTCATTCAAGCAAAAAAAAAATAAGGAAGGAACGGCTCAAGTTTAAAATAGGCAATCCAAACACGAGAAGCTCTCGCATGTGTAGCGATATTTCAATATAGTGCACTTGTGTAGCCTCTCCGTTTTAATATGTGCAGGTGCTAGTCTCTCATTAGTCCCTACTTCATTCCTTTTTGCATTCTGCAAACAAGAACACAAAGCATGACACTAAAAATAGTGTATGGAAGAGGCAGAGGCTGGTTCCTGGAGCCTTTCCCACTAAATGCCTGCCTATCTATAGTCTAATTAAGCAAAAAGTTTGAAACCACCTCAGCATTCGAGACCCGCAATATCTAGTCTGTTGATGGCACTTCAGCATCCCAGATACGAGTTAGAATACACCTGCTATGAAAAACGACCATCTTCGTGTTTTTCTTGTTTTTGCGGGTGCAAAGATTTGGCAAAGAGTTTTGTGAACTTCTCAGCTATACTTGGGGACAACTTTTCTTGGCAATGAAGCCAAGGCTATGGGTACCCGTGTGCTCGTGCACATTAAGCACCGATCCCAGCTGTGGTTGCAGTCTTCACCTTTTCGGTGATGCCAGAAAAAGTTTTGGCAGTTTGATACTTTAGACCCATGTTACGTGTAAAAAAAACAGGGCGTGGGGTGGCCCAAAAAATATGCTTTTCGTGCAAAGCTCATCAAATTATGAGGTGCTGGAAAAAACCAACCTTCAGCAATAAGTCCCTATTTTGAAATCTTTTTGTTCACGTTCCGCCAATTGAAAAGCGTGTAGGAAGCACCTCAGCACGCACCTCTTATTGCTGCGCCACAGTTTTCTTCCGCAGCATAAAGGCCGCCTGCTTTCACCGCCGTCACCATGGCAACAAACGCCGAATGACCTTTTCGGACGACGCGTGTATCACTGAGGAGCGTGCTAACCCACATCCCTGTCTGCATTCATGCCGCGCAACAGTCTGCGGCTGCTCATTACAAAACTATTCAACTTTGGCTATCAGACGGCGTTTGAAAAATCAGCGTTCACTGCCATGGTGACGGCGATGAAAGCAGAGGGCCTTTATGCTGCGGAAGAACACTGCAATGCAGCGATACGAGGTGCGTGTTGAGGCCTTTCCTGCATGCTTTTCAAAGGGAAGAATGCGAACAAAACAATTTCGAAATAAGGACTTAACGCAGAAAGCTGGTTTTCGCCACCGCCTCATAATTTGACAAGTCTTACACGAAAAGCATGTTTTACAACATGGGTCTAAAGTATCAATGTGCCAAAGTTTTCCCCGAGTATAGAGGTTTTAAATTCATAATCGATCACACGTGAACAATTAACAAAACCGGTTGCCTTTCTTTGTCGGGCTATGCCCAAAGGCGTGACCGTGTCGAATAATGTCAGAGGCCTTCTGCAGCGTTACCTGCGTACTACAAAACGATGACACGCACGCGAAGCTTCGACAAGATTGCGATCGTACCTTCTCATCACTCGAAGCGAGTTAAACGGCAGCGCTGTATGACAGCAAAAGCCGTCAGCGAACTCGAAAGCCTGGTGCTTGCGATCGAATAGGGAAAATAGCCTCGTTTGACACAAGAGTCATCCCACGCCAGAAACAAGTCCGGCAAGGTTTTAGTATTTATGCTCATGTGAGGGGGCCCAGTGAGAACGAATGAGTGGATCTCGAGCAATCGGCTCTGCAGTGTGCTTCGTCGGGGCCAACAAGGCCGTCCACGTACCCATGCAGGGGCAGTACAGGACGTAGCCGGCCGGCTTCCGGCACCGGACACCGTCCAGCAGCAGCAACCACAACGCCAGCAGCGGCAGCGTCCTCCCAAGCGGCACGACAGATCGCACCAAACTCGCCATTCTTGCACTGCTACGATAGTAGGACAGCTGGTACAGTACACTGCCCTGCCAAATACGAATGGTCAAGCCAGTCAAGCTTTCACTTGAGTCTCGAGTCGTTTAACCTGGTTTAACCGTTTAGCGCGGCTAGTTCACTTTAGCGCGGCGAAGGCAGCGAAGGTGGCATACGCAAAAGCATGCGGCCTCCGTTGCGACTGGCGTCGACTTGGATTGGATTGCACGATATTGACTAGTAGAAACCGAAACCAAAACTTTACGGGTTTATACCTAAATGAATACATAAAAAAAGCAATAGTTTTAACAGCAAAAGTAATGCAGCAGGCAAGTGATTCTTGTGATGCCATTCATACGGCGATCGATAATTAAAACACATGATGGTGGAGTTATTAGCTCATTTAGATGACTACAGGGTTGTTGTGGAATAACTTGTGCGATTCTGTGCGATCTCAACGTTAAAATGAACTGACCCAATACGAAAAAGAAAAGGGCATGGCAAATTTTACAAACGTATAGAGATGCTCTGACTTTTCAGTCGCCAGACGCGCGGAAGCGATACCGCTAATCGAACTGATAAACCTGGCGATCCTTACCGAGCTCCTCTCCTTCACTGCGCACAGGTGGTCGAGCTCCTCCTCGCCTACCCCTTTGGTCACTTGACCTCTTCATTAACCAATCAGCGTTGAGCACCTTATTCCTTTCTTACGCGTCAACCAATCATTGTCGAACGCCACGCTTTTATCCAGGCTTCACGAAATGCCGAACATCTAGGCCACTGATCTAGGCCATAGAACAGAAATCGTTTGAGTCACATCAGCTTCACCCCCCCCCCCCCCCCCCCCCTTGTTTTCTTTCGTGGCTTTCTCCATAGAGTTATCATAATCTCTGGTTCTTTTTTGGCATGGTTTCAACATGGTTTCAAAGTCAAAGCTGAAGTTTGACGCGAGATTCATCGACAGAGTCAGCTGATCATGTGATCATGTTGCCCGTCGGTTTTGGCCAAAGTAACGTTGGTTTCGGCCATGTTCTGAACTCGCGGCATGGCAACGTTGTACCTGTAATGGCGGCGTTCATTCGTTCACAAGTTGATGCTCTCTGAAGTAGGGGCGGGCACTCGTCACAGCGGCGTGTTTAGACATTCTAGCTGCAGTTTGCTAGAAGTGTGCGACCGCTCCCGCGTTGCCCCAGGCGATGAAGTTCACGGAACACTTAGCCGCGCACATCACTCCGGAATGGCGCAAACAGTACATCTTGTACGAGGTGAGCTCCCTTGGCTTCCTTCGCATTTGTTGCACCGCCGTAGATTCCTCGTTACAGCAACGCCGTGCGCACTGCCAGTTGGTGTCGACACAACCTTTGTCACGAGCCTCTAGCCCAGGACGCTCAAAAGTGCGCGCGCGACTTGACGGACGGTGCAATGCAGTGCGCGAGCAAGTCGAGGCAAACGCGCGCTTCTTCGCGCGCTTGAGGTCAGAATTCAGACGCAACGGATGCTATCCGCCAGACAAGTAGCGCCGAAACCGCGTCGTCATTACGTTGGTCGTCTTTATGTCCATCTTTTGTCGACTGTTAGTTAAATCGAGCGCCGAGAAGGCGCATCGACTTTGCGCGTGTACTAGTGTGTTGGACTGTCCTCTAGCCTTTCACTACGCTTCACAGCGGGAGTACAGTACGAGAGCCCCTTGGGAGTGCGGTCTCTTAATTAAAATAATACCCAGGGCGAAAGGGTATTGCACATTTTGGGAACATGGCTCGCGTTGCCACGCGTGCCGGGCGCTCGGTGATGCGTTTATTCGGTAGCTTGTCGGTTTTCTGCCCTTTTTCTAACGCGACGGCGTCGAGGAGCGTGTGGTTCACCCTCCTAGCAATGGCGTTGTAACGCGCCGTGCGTGCAGCTAAGCCGGTACAAAACTGAGCAAGGTGTGCGTCCGGGTGATATTGGTCCTACGTCTACCCTAAGTCAATAATCCTAGAAGAATGAGCCTTTCCCATTTCGCACAGACTCGCCAACAGTTTCTTTCACCCCCGTGCAGTACAGCATTCCAAGATCATCGTGATTGACGTCACAAGAGATGTGCCTTGTAGCGACAATGTGCGGCTAACTATGATGCTTGCAACCCTTTCATTGAAGCCGCACCCTCCGCATGTGCTCCTGCCATGCATTGTTTTGGTTCCGAGGGAACTGCGCTGAAAGGTAGCCAGCCGGCGGAGCAAGACGACGTTGAATGCCGGGCGCTCCCGCCATAGTCGTGGGACAAGAAAAAATGCTCCGATCCCCAGCAGCTGCTTATCTGTGATTTATCTGTGATTGCGCCAAGCCTTCCCACGCGAGGCCGCGTCTCCACTTGCCATCTTATCACTTTTGTTGTGCCCTTCAGCTTGAAATCTCAGCATTGACGGCGATCCTGTCTTGGCATTCGCAATCCCCGCCTGCCTTGGCTGAGATGCAGACGTGGGCAGCCTTTGTAATTTATCCAGAGTCAGTTTGTGCTGTACATTATGCACTTACGTCTACACTAGTGGCTGGTGCACAGATAATTTTAATATGGTCGATCATCTGATTTCATTTACCTTTCTGTAAATACTTAAAACGACCTAATTTCGGCGAGGACCTAGTTGTGGTTTTGGCGAATCACTTACGATTCTCAAAATAATTGGTCTCGCAAACATATCCAACAAAATATCAACATATTGGAAATAATATTGAGATGTTATGCTTCATTCAGTGCCAATGCAAATGCATGAAAATACACGATAACTGGAGCACACACATATGTGGCTGGAGCACACACATTTGTGGATGGTTAATAATATATTTCCAATAAAAGATGTCGTAAGCTGGAATGCAAGCCAACTTGCATTATTGGAACAACCTGAAAGATTCCTGCAGAAGTATAGAAAGACTGTGCGGTGTCTTGCCCAGGATGTCAAACTAAAAACCAAATCAAAACCATTTTTTATTGAACTGGAACAAAACAGAAAGTAAAATGGAACATTTTGTTTGAACCCAAACTAGAACGGACTCACAATCTCGTGTGGCAGTTACTGGCTCGTTGAAAAACGCTTTATTGAAATTTTTGTAAGCGGTGGGGAGAGGTCCATTTTAACATTCGGAGTAGTGGCATCAGCGGTGCAGCATTGCCTAAACAAACACCAGCAGCGACTTGGAGACAGCTCAATAACAATTAAACAAATTAATCAATTTTACGTCCACGGGCAGCACAACTTGGCGTCGGCATGGAGGCATACTCCAGCTGACTATGCCAAAAGACCAAAGGGCTGTTCTTTGTTTTGTTGCTGCTAGACTCTTCAAGAAAAAAAAAAGTGAGCATAAAAACTGAGATAAAAACAATCAACAGGCTGTTACGTGTGCTTGTTTGCAGTGGCAAAAACTGAAGGTGCCCCCAAGAAGGCTTTAGAGGCAAAGTGAAGCCATGATGAGCACAATACAGGGGTGCTGGGTGCTTGGACACTGGTAGCTCAGTTGCAAAAAAAAAAGTTTTTTTTAAATTTTTTTCTAAATAATCATGCTATATTTTTTTTTTCTTCTTTTGTTTTTGAATTATCTTTTGCCTGCCCTTTTCCGTCTTTCTAATCTTCCACTCAGTCGTTCGAGACAATTAGTTGCGATCGTGGCGCGTGCTGGCTGACTGACCTTGCATGTGGGTACTATACCTCAGTACTGTTTCCAAGTACCTCTCTTACCATTTGTGGAGAGTGGTGTTTGCAGCAGTTAAGCCATATTTGTTCTGCTGTCTCTTTTTTTGCAAACAGACTTCTGATAAGCAGTTTTGCATTATTTTTTTTAAGGAAGATGACATTGAGGTGAACACTTTTTTTTTTCTTTGCGACTGGGAGCCATGAAGTGTGCGTTTTGTTTAGTGCAGGGAATACACATGTGGCCACAGTGTAAAGTAGAATTATGAACTAGTTTGAACCGATTCACGCTCCATTGAAGGGGTAATTGAACCGATATTTTGCATGCATGACTGAACCGGAGTCGAACCAAAACAAAATACAATGCTACTGAACCCGAACCAAACCAGAATAATGACCGGTTCGACAACCTGGCCTTGCCGCTTCGAATCCTTGGTGGTTACTGCTATAATCAGACTCTCGTTGACGGACAGATAATCGCCCTAGGTCATCTATTATTTTCTTGAGTCCAAAAACAGCAGTTCCGAAGAGTAGAAGACAAAGCCAATGCGAACGCTCCTTCATCTGTTGTTCTTAAAGGGAAGATGGGGCACTTCTACATTTGAGAAAAAACGCTTGAATTGCGTTCATTTGGCCTTTAGAATAACAGATATCAAAATTATATTTTGATGCGACGCGCCGGAGAGCCATACGAGCAATTTCAACATAGGGCTTAAGCCCCGCCTCCCTAGCCTTGGGCAGCCAAAAGATCCGTTGATGACGTCACGTACAGCGACTGTCTTTCGCGTTTTTCTCGCGTTTAACAATACTTACGCAGCAAATGGTTTGGGTATTCGGGTCCACGGGGTAAAAATACACTAGAATTCACTTCTAACTCATTTTTACCAGGAAGCTCCGTAGCTTCCCTTTAAGGAAAATGAACACAGAATGTGTTTTTTGGCCAGTTTTCATGCAATGAGCGTAACATTAGAAAGAGTGTCACAAAAAAATTGTCAGATAGCGCTAAATTTGGCGGGCAAGACGTCGCCTGCCATTTTTAGTGTACCCCCAAGCTCTGAAAAGCTAATAAATCAACAGCTAGTGCTACTCCAAACATGCTGCACATTCTTTCTTACTTTACTTCAGCATAAACATTTGATAGAAATCTGGTTGGATGGCTTCTTAAGACCTGTACCAAAGGGCAATAAAACTTTGTTTGGGCCTAGTTGGTTCATATTGATTAAAAGGTTAAAAGGCGGGAACAAACAGGACGAAAAAAGACACACGTATGTTACGGACAGGCGGCAACTTTCAACTGATTTATTGAAACGCGAATCATCGTCAAACTTGATCCCAATTGCCTAAACACACACAACTGATAAAAAATTCTTATCGCTCATTGCACACATCCTTCAAGAAACAAAATTTCTTTGGTTAACAAATAAAGAGATGGCATGCTTACGTATCTGTCAACCGCTTTATGTATACAGAAAGCTTTGATTAGTTCTCTTTCCATCTTCTCATTCCCTTTCTTGATAAACCTTGTGCGCTCTAACAAAGGATCGCACCCACATCGTTTGCAGTGCTCCGCAAGATGCCCACCCGAATTATTGCGTACGGCTAGCTTGTGTACCCGCGCTCTTTCATTAAAGCATCGGCCGGTCTAACCTATGTAAACTTGGTTGCAACTAAAAGGATGTTCCTTTTAGTTGCGGCCAAGTTTACAAAGGGTGGTTCGCCACAAGGCTGACAGCGAGTGTAGCAGCGGGGGGGGACAGGTTTTGTCAACATTCGAGTATCCCCCAGAGGCTCTGTCCTTTTAGTTCCCGTAGCCGCGAGAGGCGGCTGCAGATCGGCAAATAATTCGTTTTTCGTTTTTTGCTTTGTGATTACGAAGCAGGATAGCAGTTTTTCGGGGAAAGGTGATGCGTTTTTGTTTACTTGGGCTTGCATAAACAATATAAAAAATGCAAACTGCCAATTCTTTGAACATTAAAATCGTTGCACTGTCCCTTTAAGTGTGTTTGTAGTTTTTTGTATATTCCACATGCAATGTATTCCCAAACTCTATCTTGGGCCAGATTGGTGAAATATTGAGCTCATAAGAAAGTTAATTTGAAAATAACTTTCCACTCCTTTTCCCTTGATTGGCTTTGCAAAAGTCAGGTTGCCATGTTTATTTGAATGAACAGGAACCCATTTTGTAAAAACCAATGAAATACCTTTGTCACACTTTGTATTTAATGGTACTTGCACTGCTGAGCTTTTGTCCTTTCATAACACATACTGTCTCCTATTCATTGGTTCAGTTCTCCCCTTAGGAGAAAGAAAGGTCACATGAAATTTACAAGATATATTGAGCTACTGGGAGTATCACAGAGCTATAGAAAACGAGCTAGTAGTATGATGTACTGAAAGAATTGTTCTGAAGAAAGTGCACAGTTTATGAGGAAGTATATTATATACTAAGTATAATTTTATGCAAAACTATAATACAAAATACAATTAAGAATGCAACAGCAAGGATAAAAAAATACTGGAAGGGCTAATTCCGTACCTCTACACACGGTACTTGGAACAAGGAAAAGACTGAAATGTATCGTTGTGGCAGATTATTTCTTAGA